GTATATTATAAGATTATTATAAGTATATTTTTTTACATACTTAAAATATACTTAAAATATATTATGAAATATATTATAAGAATATTTTAAGTATGTAAAAAATATATCTATAATATACTTAAATTTTAATTTAAATATAATTTAAGTATATTTTAAGTATTTGGGCAAAAGTTAAATATATTAGAAATATATTTTAAAATAATTTTAAATACATTTTAAGTATATTATAAGTATTTCGCAATTTTTAAATTAAATATATTTTAAGTATATTTTAAATATATTTTAAAAAGTTTTTAATTATATTTTAAATATAAATACTTTTTATAGGGCACAAAACAAAAAGATGCTCTTCTAAATATTATAAATTATCAGTAGAAAATAATAATCAAAATGTTTTATCTTCTATATAAATCAAATAAAAGTGAGCTTAGAACTTGTAATTATTGTTTAAATAAAAAATATAATATTTGTAGATATATTAAACATAAAGCTGATAAAAGAAAATATTAATTAACATAATATTAATAGTTAAAAGCATTATAATAAAATTAAAATTTTAATTATTTGCATTTATTAGCATTAGAATTGTATTTATTGTATTATTGTATAAATAATAAATTATAAATTTACATTAACAATTATTACAACTATTTAAGTGAGAATCACATATGGTGCTGAAAGTTTATATTCGACAATAAAAATATAACATTTAAAAATTTAATTTTTTAACTTTTTAAAAAAAATACAATTTAGAAAAAATAAACTGGTAACTTTATTCTTTAAGGTAAGCTCTATTAAATTACTGGTCAGATTTTTTAAAAAAGATCTACATAAAAAGTTATAAGCATTTGAAATTGCATGATTTTTATATAATCAGCCCAAATTTGAAATAAAATATATTGGACAGAACATGATAATTTAGGCTGAATCTATTCATTGTGATAATACCAACCTAAATTATTATAATATAAATCAAATGTAATTTTTTTTAAAAAAAAAATTTTTATCAATATATGACTTTTATGAAATGATAATTGTGATTTTATTGCTGAAATCCTGTTTTTCTTATATTTTATCTTGTTTGTAATAAGGTTGCCTGCCTAAACTTCTTCAAAATTCTACAATTAGTTTCTCCAAAATTTTACTATAGTTTTATTATAGTTTTGGCAAAGTTTTGGCAATTTTGGCATTTATAATAAGTTTCATCAGATTTTACTTTTCTCCAGAGTTTTGCCAACTTTTTAATAAGACTTTTATATAGTTTCAGAAAAGTTTCAGCATTTTAGCATTTTGCCAACTTGCCAAAATCCTCTAGTTTCTCCAGTAACCTTAGTTTGTAATAAAAATTTTCAAAAATTGCATTTTATTAGTACTTTATACAAAAACTTCCAGTTTTTTATTGACTGAATTCTAGATCATATGATATAGAATCAACTCAGAAAATTGAAATAAAATCATATATATGATTGTTAAGTATAAATTTTCAGCACCATATTAATATTATTATATAATATGATAGGCAGTAGACATCTGAGATAATAAATAGCAGACTTGTATTTTTTATATTTTAAAGTATGAAAATTTAATTTTCTTAATATTTTAAAAGTACAATAAGCAAAAAATTTGCAATTAAAATTTTTTTAAAATAAATATTACAAAAAAAGCAAATGAAACTACAGTCATAATAATTCGATATAATGATTCAGGATAAACTGATTTTGGCCTATAACGAACTTTTTTTTTAAACCAAAACCATCTATAATTAATTATATCACTATATACTGACTTTATTATAAATTTTACAATATTACATATAACGAAGTTAATCATAAAATCAGTCATACTTATTTATTTGCGATAAACTGATACCATACTAATTCTAGCCAGAATTAACTTAGTCTTGGCCAGTATTATTCAACGCAGCAAACCACTGATTCTCAATTTCAGTGCATCTATTTACAAGTTTTTATATGATAATATTGTAGGGCCCGAATAATACTAATATAACTCACAAGTAAAGTTACTTGCCGAAACTCTACAGGCTATTGTCAAAATGTTAAAACTAAAACCTGTCAAAATGCTGAAATGCCAAAATAGTTTTGACATATTAAAATTATCAAAACTTAAAAATATTACGTTTCACTTAATAACTCGGCATCCAATGATTGTAGAAAGATGCACCATAGCTCGTTGGAATCGCCACATAACGACGAATCGAATGGTGGTTAGATCGTCTTTCTACGATCACTGGATGCCGAGATATTGAGCGAAACGTCAAAAATCAGCATTTTGTATTTTATGATACTGCGCTGTTTGACGTTTCACTTAATAACTCAGCATCCAATGATTGTAGAAAGATGCATCATAGCTCGTTGGAATCGTCACATAACGACGAGTCGAATGGTGGTAAGCTCATCTCTCTGTGAACAATATTGACGGAATTACTACTTAATACCATTTAATATTTTTTAATTTCGGAAATTGATCTAGTGATTGGATTTTGATGTATTTTATACCATTAGATTTATCGCATCAAGACGAATCGAATGGTAGTAAGATCGTCTCTCTAGGATCAATATTGGCAGAGTTATTACACAAAAACCATTAATATTTTTTTAATTTCGGAAATTAATCTTGTGATTTTATTTTGATGTATTTTATACCATTAGAATCGTCTCATTAAGACGAATCGAATGGCGGTAAGATCATCTCTCTACGATTAATATTGGCAGAGTTATGATACAATAAAGTTTTGAGTATAATTTTGACCAAAATTATGTTAATTTTTGGCCAGAATTATGATATACTAATATAAGAAATTTTTTATATAGTCACATCTCTTTATAATCACCAAATATGAACTGTTCCAAATGTGTGACTATAAAGAGAGTTGACTGTTTGTGAAATACTTAACAATTTTGCTGCTGGAAACTTATTAGGTTTATGAGTTGATGGTAAAAATGCTAAAAATTCAGTTATGACTGATCATAATCAGTTTTATCAATTTAGTTACAGTTCAATTCCAGTATAAAATTAACTGATTAACTGACAGTTTTAAAAAACTGATATTACTAATTGATTATTAAATAATGATTAATTATAAATTATATATATATAATATTAAATAATTTATTTTTATTATTTTGTAAAATTATATAAGCTATAAATCATTACTAAAATTAGGTTATTGGCTTATTTTCATATGTAAATAATTTTTTATAATGTATATTTAAAAAATAAAAAAAAGATTTTTATTAAAAATATATTTTTTTTTTTTTAATAAATCATCAAATGTGTCTGTTTATTAAAATTTTTTGCCTAAATAATTGATTTTAAAATTAATAGATAATTTTGATGATGTTGATTCAAATTGTACTTTAGAAAATAAGAGTAAATATTCTTTTGAGAGTTCCTTTTAACATTCAGCATATAGTTTAGAAATGCATAAAAATGATATGGTTTTAAATGATGATAATACAAATTAGCAAAAACTTGATGATAAGAAAAATGAAGATAATGAAAATCAAAATAATAGAATACTATTTAATATCTAGAAGCATATAGATAAAGTAACAGATTTAGAAAAACTTAAATGTAAAATTTGTAATAAAATTTTTTTAGCAAAAGTTTTACAACAACATTGTAAAATCATATTAAAAAAATATTACAAATATATTCGTAAAGAAGCTAACTAAACAACTTTTTAAATTTAAGAGCAATACTACTTCCTTTTACAATAAAAAAAAAATTCATAATTCATCAAACTTCTTATTAAATGGATAGTAATTAATATGCTACCATTTTCACTTATTAATATACAAAAATTAAATCCAAAATTTAGATGTTTAGGTTGTATTACATTAAAAATAAAATAATGTTTGAATTTAAATTTAAGTGTAAATATATTGTTGATTTTATTAAAAATATTTCAGGTTATTGCTCAATTACAACTGATATATGGTTAAGTATTAAAAATAAAGCATTTATTGGAGTTACAATTCATTTTATTACTAATGAATAGAAGTTAAAGCATTTTACACCTAAATAACTGGTTTTCATATTGGTAATGCAATTTATGAAATTCTTAATAAACTTTTAGAAGATTTTGATTTTAAACAAAAAGTTATATCTATTATTACTGATAATGGAAGTAATATGATTGTGGCTTATAGATTGTTAAAAAATAATTTCAACATTCAAACACCTGCATTAGATTTTATTCATTCTCATTGTATATGTCATATATATATGTCATATATTAAATCTTGCAGTAAATGCAAAATTAAAACATAAAAAATTTAATTAAAAAGTAGAAAAATAGTAAAATGTGTTAGAAGAACTCAATTATATCTTAAAGAATTAGAAAGATTAGCATTGTATATTTAAGCATCCAATTTTGGATGTTAAAATCAGATGGAATTTTATGTTCCTTATGACTGAACATGCATTAATTCTTAAGGATGACTTATCAATAATAAAATCTCAACATCAACCACTTCAGGATATTTGACTTAATGAAAGAGAATGGGAAAAAATTGAAGTAAATGTTAATTTTTATAATAATTATATTTAATTATTAATTACAAGTTTTAATTTTAATTTTTTTATAAAAAAGTGATAATCGCTATTTCAATGGTTACACCACGATTTCCCGACAGACGATTTCCCGACAACTTTGACCAGCATTAAAACTAATGTAGGCCAACTGTGTCGTGCAAACGTCCTGTCGGGAAAATGGATGTCGGGATTTTGTCCGACATCGCATTTCAATCATTTTCGGCGAAATAGAATTCGGTGAAATGAGGTTTAGCGAAACGTCCCTTCGGTTAGACGAAATGGCTTCGGCCGTAACCTGCAATATCACATGTAATTGATCATTTATAAAATGGATCCCCTTTCTGAATTGGTATGGAAATGAAGCTTGGGTTAGAGAATTGGTATGGGAGAAAAATTATTTAATAATTACTCTGGCTTTCTCCTTATCTACCCGTAAAATTTTCTTTTAAAAAAAAAAAAATTTTGAAATCCGCAAAATATTTCATGTAATTGATCATTGTAAAATGGAGAAAAATGGCTTTCTCCTTTTTCTCCTTATAAAAAATATTCATTTTATTTCTGTAAAATGATATAGTCTTCGGAATCATCATATTCTGCTTTTTCTTATATATACAGGGACTGATTAAAAAACACAGAACAAAAAAATATTACAGAACAAAAAAAGAAAAATTCTCAAAATATAATATTTTGCAATGAAATATATTTTCTTGTTTATCGTTCTTATTTGTACCATCCATCTGACAGTTCATGCATCGCCTCTCCATGAGGGTAAGAGATTAATTTATTTTATTTATAATTTTTTATCTTTCTATTTTCTCATGTTTCTCATGCATTTAACATTTTCATTTGTAGTTAGAACTAGCCTTCTCATGAAACGTTGTACACATGGTGGCGGACTTGGAGATTGTAATAAAGGAGAAGAGTGTTTTTTTGATGATGATTGCGCGCCGGGTCTTTATTGTGATAACAATGCTATATGCCAATGAATTTTTGAGTTAAATTATTACATACTCTAAGTAGAACAAGGTCTTTGGGATTCCAACGTCCGTTTTGAACAGGGAATATATTTTGTTGTTTACTAATGTATTAGTTATTTTACTTTTTACTTTTTTTCGCTGTAAAGAAATTATATCTATAATTTTTTTTAATTAATAAATATTTCTATCATGCAAATATTGCATTCTTGACCTTATACGATTTACTTTCTTGACTAGTGTATACATTGACGGTCAAAGTAATGCATCGCCGAAATGAAAAATGGTGATCATGATATAGTAGTCACGGCGTCTTATTAATAACGAGTTTATAAAATTTTTATATATTAATAAAATAAAAGTAAAAAAATTCCTTTCAAACATGCGATGCTTTTTTTTGACCGTTTCCAAAAATTATATATCTCTTCTTCACAAATACTAATATGATACTAACTATTGTAAATTCTCGACCAGATAGGAAAAGCTGAAAGTGAATATGGATCCTAGTGATTCCTAATTTGACATGACATGTTGTCGGTTTCTAATTCTTTCGTTATTTCTTTTGCTTCGGAACTAATAGTAGTTATTTTTTTCTGAGCTAATGTTATTAAGAATAAGAATAGAAACTATTCGGAAATATCTGGCCTGTCATCTGGTTCAAATTCCCAACATCCTATTTATATAATGCGTAAAGTTAGACGTGCTTTTGTTACAAAAAAATATATCGTTACTAATTTCCATTCTTACTTTGATAAAGCTTAACGTATTCGTCATTTGTGCACGTCCGAAATGTGTGACAGGTTTTGGACCACTAAAAAAATTCTAAGTCCCTCAGATAATTAGTGTTTTGAACTCGTGGCTGCACGTGATCAGTGACGCGTAATCATCACTCCTTCCTATTAAGTTGTGATCGACACTAACCTGTCACACCGGCTTTGAAATGCTTTTACCGTTAATAATGCGAATCTCCAAACCAATATCTCGAAAGGTGGTCTACAACTTGTTAATTGCCAAAACAATGCCGCCAAGCTATATATATCGGATTTTTTGGTTAAATCATACGAATGATCATTAAGGATTTTTGGATCCATGTAAGAAGTTACTCCATATGTTTTTCCTTTTTTGATGATAGCTGAACCGTTGTATGCAGGAACGCGCTATTTTTATCGTACGTTGATGTATTAGGATATTGCCGGGATGCTAAAGAAAAATTACACTAGTTATAATAAACATATGTTATAGAACAGAAATAATTGTCCGGAGCGAAGCGAAGGACAATATGTCCTACGCACTATGAAAAAAAAATCGATCCCGTGAATTTCTCTGTCCGCCACGTGATCGTCACCCAATGAAATCGCAAATTTTAGTTTTTCGCTCCGGACTTACAACGGTTCCCGTTTCCTAGTAAATTTACAGTATATACTTACAAGATCCCCATGTATAATATCACGCCTATGTAGACATAAATCGCACTTGCTATTTCTTTAGCAAATTTTATTGATCGTCCCATTCAAAAAGATCTTTTTTCCCTAAATATTCTTAATGTTCCACTATCCGCATATTCAAGGACGAGCGAATAATTTCTGTTGTTTCGCCTAAAAAAAGCATACAATGTTTTTAAGTTTTTGCTTACATAACGAAAGTTATCAACAAAAAAGTATTTCAACTAGAAGGGTTATAAAATAAAGCTATTGAGTTGTGTAGCTATCATCCAATATTTTTTATCTATATAGTTATATACCTTCAAGTGTCGTAACTCCATAAATTCTAATTATATTTGAACCTTTCTCATTAAATAGACCTAAAAATAATAACAGTTAGAATTTATCTGCAAATAAAAATTGCAATAACAAAATCTAACCTCAGTCATCCTTAGAATTGTAAAATTAAAAGTTCTACTCAGCATGATGGAAGTTTGTTTTAATTGGTTAATATTTGTGAATGACATTAAAATGTTACACTATGTTGAACCAATAAAAATTTCAATTTTTCACGTGACTTTATTTTATGTTGCGGATTTTTCATCTCTGTAATATGTGATGATCAGATTATTTAGTAATAAAATAGCATATCTGATATTATGATTTAATTCAACTTTATAGTAAAAAGCACAACCACAATTTTTATATCAAATTATACTCTTTTAAGTGACACTTTTCTTTTTGAAATTTATATTATCTTTGTAAAAAAAAATGCTATATAATTAAAAAATATATAGTTTTTTTAATTTTTTATTATATAAACCTTTTAATTTTTTACTTTTAAGCTTAAAAAATAAAGGTGTTATATTATTCTCTACCAAATCAGAATTGAGATATTTTTCACATCTTAAATTTAATTTATGATAATAATAAGCTATTTTAAAATTTAAAAAATAATATATAATAATAATAGCGATAAAGTAAGGGATTAATAATTTAAAGTATTAGAATATATAGTTTAATATATTATTTTTTTTTTATTACAGCACATTTACAGTTTTATTAAAGTAAAAAGAATTAAAAGAATCTATATACAAAATAAAGTTCCAAAAATAACTATTCTAATATGATTAAACTACAAATCACTCGTCATATATATAGTATCTCACATATAGTATATTGTTAAGTGATTATTTGGCTTTGTAGGTAAACTTCATTTAAAAATGGATCAGCTTAGCCATAAGGTCCTATTTTCAATGTCTAGTAATCATAGGTCTCATTATGCTGCAAATTTATTATTACTTTTTTGTTTATGTTGAATGAAAATTTTTCTGGACTTTCAAAAAGATGATATACCAGTAACTACTATGCAATATAAATGTTCTTTACATTAACATAAGCCATTCTTAAATCTTGAAAACTTGTGTTTACTTTAATATATTATTAATAAAAAGCATGCATAATTTAATAATATAATTTTTTTTTTTTTTTTAAGTTAATTTTAATTTACTATAATAATGGTTCTTTTAAAATTAAAAATAACAAAAAAATTAAAATCAAAAATAGTGATAAAGTAAGGGATTAATAATTTAAAATATTAGAATGCATAGTTTAATATATTATTAATAAAAGAAAAAATGTATTTGTAACAGCATGTTACATATCTTATTTGTAACATCCTTTTTTTATTTTTTTTTTAATAATAAATTTAATATGTGTTTTACAAATAAATTTTTTATATGCAAAATTTAATTTGGAAAACTTTTACTTAATGTACTTAAGACAGTTTCATAGACAAAATTTAAGTTATAAGCAGTTTCTTGAAATTTTTTAAAAAATTCTTTTATCTTAGTTACACGACTGATCTTTTGTTTTTGTTTACATTACGCCTGATCTTAAATTTTAATTGGATAAAATTGGGGTTATTACAAATAAGACGTGTAACAGGCTGTTACAATTAGATTTATCCTTAATAAAAAATATACATATATGTTTATTTTATTTATAAACTTAAACTATAACAATGAATTTTTAAAATTTAAAAATAACAAATAAATTAATATTGGTAATAAAGTAAAGGATTAATAATTAAAGTACAGTAGACAATCAAAAATATACAGACACCTCTCAAATTAAAAAAATTCTCATACATTTAATATAAAATAAACTAAAATATAAAGTAAACATATTTATTTCATCTTCATTTATTAAATTACATATAAATATAGACACTAATAATTTAATTTATGGCAGTAATTACTTCAATTTTTCATGCATCATCATATTAATTAATTTTCTTATAATATTCTTGAAGAAATATTTTTTTTTGTGTATTCTTTATTATTTTTTTCAAGTTAAAATGATAGTGAAGTATTCCAAAAAGTAGGTAAATAGTTGTTTTTATATCTGCCTAGAGATTTTCAGTAAGTTTAAAACCAGATTCCTAATCTTAATGTTTTTGATGATTTTAATAGGATCCCAAATATTACTAAAACAACTCAAATCTTGTGTAACTAAATTTTTAAAATATGATATCTCAGTTAATATTGTACTTAAAAAAAATAAATATATATCAAAATGTTCGTCTTGTTGAGATGAATTTAATAAGCTAAAGATCATTAAAATCCAATCACTGGATTCCGAGATAGCAAAATTTGAGGCTAAAATTTACATATAACTTTATATATTTGAAATAGAAATTAATTATAAGGTTTATACAAATTCAGATCTGAGTTTTTTTAGTAATATTTGAAATCCTATTTTAGTGCAAATAATTCCATATTTTATAAAAAATTAACCAATAAAGGAAAGCCCAAAAAATTAAGTGCATTTGTTTATTATGATCCTAAATTCAAAATCATATATTATTTATATCATATAACCATATGGTAATTTACATAATTTCGTAAAACAAGGTGTCTACAGTCAAACTTCGATATACCGATATTCTATATACCGATAATTGCTTTTAACGATAAATTTTTATTGTCCCATTTCACAATTAATAAAAAAACCTCAATATATCGATATTATATATAAATTCGCGTTGTAACATATAACGATACAAGTTCTTTGTCCCTTTATAGTAGCGAATAGTAACATTGTACCGATATTTAGGTTACACATTCACGTGACCTTATCTTTTTTTGCTCTTTAGATGCATGCAACATTTCGGTATCTATGAAATATCATTCTTGAAATAATGCATTTAATGAAAGTATCAAAAATCAAAAAAATACATTTCGCGTTTTATACAAATCATGCCTCAACTACAAAGAAAAAGGAAAATAACACATGATTCATTACAACCAAAGAAAAGAGTTGTTTTAACGCACGCGCAAAAGCGTCAACTCTGTTTAGATTCTCAGAAGACATCACGGCTTACTCAACAAGAACTCGCAGCCATATACCAAATCAAGCAAAACACTGTCTCTGATATTTTAAAAAACAAAGATAAGTGGCTGCTTGTAAATCCCGATTCAGAAGAAGCAAATAAACAAAGAGAAAGGCCACCTTGCTTTCCTCAAGTGGAAGAAGCTCTTGCGCTGTGGTTAACAAATGCTCTTGCTGCAGGAGTTATAATTAACGGTGATATTTTACGTGAAAAGGCAAAAATTTTTGCGCGAGGGTTTGAAATTGATAATTTTACCGCTTCTAATGGATGGTTAGAGAAATTTAAACAACGCCATCATTTAAAAGAATATGTTAAGTGGGGTGAAGCAAACAGTGCACCATTAGAAACTTTAGAAGAATAAAGGAGAAAATTACGTGAAATTATCAAGGATTATTACTTAAATTATGTTTTTAACTGTGATGAAACAGGTAATCAAGATCTTCTTCAAAAATCCAAATAATATTCTAACATTTTATGT